TTACAAACTGAGAACAAGGTGATAGGACAATGAATTGCTAAAAGAAGGGCTAGAAGGAGTGATTATGGTAGTTTCGGTCAAAGGTTTAGGTAGATAGAACAAAGAATGCATTTAGGACCTAGAAGTCTGAGGTAAGGTGGGGCTGGCTAAGTACAGAGCAGGCCCTATCTGAATGGCATTTGTGAAGCCATTCACCCCACCACCAAAGGGGGAAAAAAAACAAGACGGAGTTTCTGTTCAAAAGGATTATAAACTGTGGACAATCTTAAAAATCACGTGCCTGAGACTTGCCAGTTTAAGAAAAGAAAAACTAAAGCTTTGAAATATATTGCCAAATTATTAGTCTTCAACTTGCATGAGTTTGCAGCCTACACAACTAGCATCCATATCTGGTTCCTGAAACCCTTGGAGTGTATCAGCTTTAGGTGTTAAGATTCAGACTCGGGATTTAACTTTTTTTTTCTAGGCTTTTGTTGATGATCCCGTGGAAAGAAAAATGACTTTGCTTGGTTTGGCAGAAATGCAAGAAAGATAAACTGTTTGGGGAAGAGGGAACCTGTTCCAATCCCTGTCCCAAGGTCTTTTCAAAATGTGTGCATCAGCCTGAGAAATTTTCATGTGTAATGCCTAAGTCTAGTTATTTAGTTTGGCTACAAAGCATCTGGGAAGTATGCTTTAATCGTTCTGATGCTAACATTGTTAGAAGGCAACGTTAAATCATTTTGAAGTGATAATGCTTCAGGTTAGTCACTATTTTTGCAGCTGTTTTTCCTTGTCAAATTTGTTTGAAACTAAAACCAATAGAATTAATTATGGTAAAAGAAAATAAAGCAAATGATGACCTCAACTTTATTTTTCTCACTGTTTGCGTAGAGACGGAAAATGAGATGCAAGATTCTTAAATGTCATCCCCTTCCCGTTAGCACTGCCATAATTCAGGGACTCACCACGTTTCAGAAACTTCTGGGGAGCCTCTCTGCCCCCATCTTTCCTGATTCTCATCCATCCTGATCACTGCAGCCAGACTTATTTTTGTAATACTCAGCTATAGTCTCTGTCACTTTTCCTGCACAAAATACTTTAGTGGCTTTCAGTTACCTACATAATACCCGACCTCAGCAGCCTGCTGTCTTATGCCCTAATTACCTGGAGGCATCCTCACTTCTCACTGCACCTGCCTCTTCTCTCTGTTCCAGCATACTGAACTACTGCAATTCCCCAAATTTTTTAAAGTGCTTGATTTGTCTCAGACTCTGAGATACGTGCTGGGGTTTCCAAGATAAGTAAGGCCTGGTCTTGGCCCTGAAGGAACTCATACCCCATAGTAGGAGATAGCATTAAACATGCAGTACGTAAGTATAATAAACGATGGTGTGTACCGTTGTACATTCTGGTACTCTTCTGCTTGGAATAAACTTTTCTTTATGTTTCTCCTGTAAAGCTTCTGTCTGTCCTTCAAGACTGTTCACAAGTATCACCTCCTTTTGTAAGGTGATGCACGATTAATTACTTGAAAGATCTGTTAACATTTTGTATACACTTGTATTATAATTTATTGTGCTTATGTTGTATTGTCTATGCATATGTTGTATTGTCTATGCATATCTATTTGCACAGGGATCTGTGAGCTCCTTGATGGTAGGACTCAGCCATTCCACAACCTTAAGCAGCATGTTCAATACTTAACACGTACTAGAAGCTTATAAATATTTGTGGACAGAGTAGCTTTTTAATGTTATTCCAATATTATTTTCAAAAACATAGAGCTGTTCTAATCTTCATAAGTCATATTTAATGGAAGATGAGATAATACTCTTTAATAGAACTCATTTGGCCCAAACCGGAGTTTAATATTCAAAGTAACAGTTAATGTTTTTTGAACTTTTCCTATTTTCAAGGCATTGTTCTAAGAACTTTATATAAATTACCTCCTTTAATCATCATGAGAATTACGAGTTGGAAAATATGACTTCTTTTTATAGATTTTATATAGAGTTTAAAAAATACATCTTTATTATAATAGCTGATAGTTACATAGCACTTCCTGTGTGCTAGGCACTATTCTAATGCCTATGTTTACTCATTATTCCTCACACCTACGTGATTTATTACATAGTTTCTATTAATTATTATCCCCACTTTATAGATGAGAAAACCAAGGCACAGAGAGTTTAAATTTGTTGTCCTCGATCACACAGCCAGAGTTGCAAAACTAGGCTGTGATGCAGCTGATCTGGACCTAAAGCTCACACTCTTGCTTATTAGGCTTAGCCATGTTTCATTTTGTAATTAACATTGCAATGCATAGTTCAAAGTAGTTGATTATAATCTATGGACACTTGAAATAGTATGGATTTATAACCTAAAGCCTACTTTCCTCTATTAGTTGGGTCAAGATATCCTCTTGGAAATCAATCCCTTTACATACTTCCATTTTGCCCATTTCATTCTTAGTTAAACAAGGGGAAATCCCATGGAAGATACAGAATTGCCTGATTGAATAAAGGTTTGTGTGAAATGTTTTCTCCTTTTAAGGCTTTAGATCGTATCTGTCTTGTCTGTTCCCTTGGTTCCATTCTTTTCCCTTCTCTTCTACTTTGCAATCAATATGGAATATTTACTGGATATCAGCCCTGCAAAAATAGGCTTATTACTACATTTGAAGATGCTAAAATATATTATCCCATTGTGTCTCTGGTCTGAAAAACGATTAATGTTTTATTTAACTTTAGTAAGACAATAATTCGTGTAGAGTTAAGACTTCGATCCAGGGTGCACAAAGCATGATTCATAAATATTAATAAGACTTTTATGTTTGGTAAAGCCACACTCACTTGAGAATTCAAATAGTATCGTGTCTTCAGCATATGACCTTTTAGTTTGTCAAAACTAAGACAGGGGCTTCCCTGGTGGCGCAGTGGTTGAGAGTCCGCCTGCCGATGCAGGGGACACGGGTTCGTGCCCCGGTCCGGGAGGATCCCACATGCCGCGGAGCGGCTGGGCCCGTGAGCCATGGCCGCTGAGCCTGCGCGTCCGGAGCCTGTGCTCCGCAACGGGAGAGGCCACAGCAGTGAGAGGCCCACG